GTTGTGGCCTCTCCCATTTGCGGAGCACAGGCTCCGGACGCGCAGGCTCAGTGGCCATGGCTCACGGGCCCAGCCGCTCCGCGGCATGTGGGATCTTCCCGAAACGGGGCACGAACCCACGTCTCCTGCATCGGCAGGCGGACTCTCAAGCACTGCGCCACCAGGGAAGCCCGAGATGCCTATTAACTTTTAAGCACAGCTGCTTGATTTTAAGTCTGTTTTCTTGGGAGAGATGTTGGCTGCAGAGTTAAACTTGTAAACCATCAGTAAATAGGTGACTTTTAAAGGCAAAAAACAATAGTGAAGAGGTTTACTGAGCCCATCAACACTCCAATATTTAGATAAGGGAGAGATAAAGAGATACCAGCAAAGTATTTTGAAAAGGAGTAGGCATAAACCAAGGGGAGAATTAGGGAGGAGTGGTGTCCCAGAAACCAAATGAAGTGATTCAACACTCAAGAAGTGGTAAACTAGATCAAAGCTGCTGATGGGTGAGTTAAAGAAACTGAGAAATAGCCACTGTATTTGGCTGGACAGTTATTGCTTACCTTCACAAAAGCTATTTTTTGTGGAGTGATAGGATGGATAAAAACCTGAGTACCATCTGCAGGAAAGAGCAGAAGGTTCTCTCCCAAGACCTTTTCAACAAGTTCTGCTAAAGAAAGATTAGCTGATCTGGAAGGGACTGGATAGAAGAGATGCTGAAGGTTTGAGAAGAGAGAATAAAAGTGGTCTGGAAGTGCGGGAGAGTGAATGAATTAGGAAACTTCAGTGTAATTGCTGGACTAAGGGACCATTTGAAGTTGTAAGCGAGACATCTGTAGAGCTGTATGTTTTTCTCCAGCCTCTCGTCCAACTGCTGCAGAACAACAGAGAAAGTTGTAAGCTGCAATGAGTTTTAAGGCAGGATGGTATGAGAAGGCAGAAAAAACCCTCAACTACAGAGCATAGTAATGTTCGGTCTGGTGGCTCACAGAAGCTGAGAGGATTGAACATCTGGGCACAGCTTGGAGGCAACAAGCTGGAGACTGCAGACCGGGAAAACAAAACAAAACAAAACAGGAGTGCTAGGAGGAAGGGTGGTTCTCAACAAACTAAGTCTTTTCTCGACCAAGCACAGCAGTAGAGGTTTGGAAAAGGCAGTCCTAGGCCAACTAAGTAGACATTGCCGCCTCGGAGGTTCGAGGGTTGCCGACTGAACACAGATGCAGTAAGTGCTAAGATCTAAAAGGGCTCCCTCCGGGACCCAGGGGAATGGACTTAGGTTTTAGCGCCGGAACTTACACCCCGACGTTCGGCTGCTTGCGGCTGTTTACCGGAGAGATGGGCATGGTGGCGAATGGGTGGGGAGGGGTCGACCACCCCCTTCCCTGGCTGCTTCTGGAGCCCCTGTACCCCAACCGCCGGCGTCAGCGGCTCCGGCTAAGGCACGGGAATGTTTGCCGGGCGTCATGGAGACGGTGGAGCCTTGGCTCAACAAGCGGCCGCGCGGTTGGCTGGCGGCTGGAGGCCGAGGAGGAGGGCGGAGGCGGAGGGGAGGACAGAGGGTTGGTGGAGCAAGAGCAAGCCCCGGACGACGACTAGAAGAAGGAGGCGGGCGGCCCGGGCCCTAGGCCCCTCCCAGGCTCTGAGTCTCCCGGGCTGCAGGCGGATGGATGGGGCTTCTTCAGGCGGTGGCGGCAGCAGCGGAGGTGGCGGCGGCAGCAGCGGCAGCGGCTGTAAGTGCAGCCTCCATAAACCGTCTCTCCTCTCCTAGCCCTGTTTGGGTGGAGGGGCTCCCGAGCTGTCCTCGGTCCCCTTTCTCTTCTTCCCCTCCCCCACTGCAGAGTACCGCCCGGAAGACCCTTAACTTCCGGGGAGGGGCTGAGAGAGCGCGCCGGGCGCGCTTCCCCTCCCGGAGTGGCGGCGGCCAGCCAAGGCGCATGCGCAGCTCTCCATCGCCATCCACCCCCTTCCCAGACTGGTCTTTTGCTTTGGCGGTGGCGGCGGCGGCGGCGGCGCGCTTGGAGTCCGCTGCGGAGTGAGTTCGCTTCGCCTTGTCCGCTTCCGCCTTTCTCCAGTCGGCCCCGGAACGCGGTCGGGGTGGGGTCAAGCTGACCGCCTCGCTGTGGCTCCGCCTGTTTCCCGCAGTATCTCCGGGTTCTGTCTCAGCCCGGGAAGGCTCCTGCTCCCACTTCAGCCCCCTGTGGTGAGCAGGGTCCTGGGCAAACCGGCCCTTTTCGGAGGGAGTGAGGGAGGGAAGAGAGGCTCGAAGAGGGTGTTGTTGTGAGGGAATGAGGTCTTCCCAGACCTTGGGTGAATCCCTGGGGGCAGATGCCTCCCTAGTCTTTGAATGGCCTTGTTCTTTCAGCTTTTGGTGGAAAGATCTCTGGCCTGGAGACCATCTCTAGTCCTCGTTTGCTGTGTGACCTTGGGCGAGTCACTACCTCTCTCTGGGGCCCCAGTTATACCTAAAGCTTCTTCCAACGCTAAAATTCTTAATTTTGCAGAAAAGCTTATGCAGTTCCAAGATTGGCCCGTCTACTGAGGCCGCTTAGACGAGATGACCCGGACTTGAGTGAACCTTTCTTCAATCATGGGTGGAATGAGGCGACCTATTTATTGGATCGCTTTTATTCCTTTATCATCAATTACAAATTGCATGACTCAAGACTCATTAATGTTTTTCTGAAATTGTCATGGGATTCCTGTCCTAATTCCTGGCCGTCTTTTTAAAAATTAGAGACAGGGCGAATGGTGAGCTTGTAGTATCATCGTCTCTAGTCTCGTTACTACTGAGGCTCTCTTTCCTTTGATCCAGATGGTGTGGTGGCTCGATTCTCCCAGTGCCTGGCTGAGTTTCGGACGTGGTTAAGAACCAACTGGTTGAGGTTCAATGCAGACAAGACGGATGTGATGCTGGTAGGCAGGGGCACACTTGGAGATTAAGGGAGGGAAAGTCCAAACTCCCTCAAGTAATATAAATGTTATATTACTCTTCCAGTGTTTGAGAACTGCTGATGGGCCAATAATTTCCAGAATTTGGGTGAGATAAAAATAACATGTCAACAATATAAAAACTATCAAAGTATCAGTTTGTTATAATCTGATAAAATGGAGCCACTGGATAAAACTCTTTATGTAAAAATTATGAAAAGAAAAACCAGAACTGTTCTTTGAAGAACCAAAAGGCTATATAGGTGTTTTGGGGTGGCGTTAATAATAAAAATCAAACTAACAAAAAGATGATGCTGATTGTCATAGATGTGGGGCTTCCAAATGTAATGCATTACTGCTTTGTAACCTACATTTTGCCTGAGTTTTTGCTAAAACTCAATTTATCTAAAATGCACATTTTAAAAATAGGTGAAGTTTTTTGGCATTTAGCTATCTTCAACCAAATTAGTATAGTTATCCATAAATTTTCACCTGCACATCATGTGTAGCCTGTCACTCTTAAATAAAAATTTAAGGAAATAGTTAACACAGTAATCTCAAAAGGGACTCATGAACTCTGAAAATTGTTAGATACAGAATTTGGTTTTAGGGTTTTGAATGTGCTTTTTAAATCTATTTCATTCAAACAGCCCCAGAGTCTGAATTGTTTTCTTGGTGCTTTTTTTTTTTTTTTTTTTTTTTTTTTTTTGCGGTACGCGGGCCTCTCACTGTTGTGGCCTCTCCTGTTGCGGAGCACAGGCTCTGGACGCGCAGGCTCAGCGGCCATGGCTCACGGGCCCAGCCGCTCCGCGGCATGTGGGATCTTCCCGGACCGGGGCACGAGCCCGTGTCCCCTGCATCGGCAGGCAGACTCTCAGCCACTGTGCCACCAGGGAAGCCCTTCTTGGTGCATTTTGAGAGGTACCTTTTTGAAGTGCATAACATGTTTATATTGTATACATTATATTTGAATCAGGTATTGGTCCTGAATAAAAGGTTATATTTCTTAGGTGTGTGTAAATTGCCAGGTTTACTTATTGGTTAGTTTGGGGTACTGGCTGAAGAAAAATTGAGACCTTAAAATGCTTTTGTTAATAGCAAAATAACTTCGAGGGGTTCGTGTGTGTGTGAGTGTGTATGTATGTATGTTTGTGTATTGCAGCCTCTATAAAATTGTTTAAAACTTTTTAATGGAGTATGCAGTAAATTGCTTAAAAATAATTTCCCAATATAACAGCAGTTTTGAGTAGCTTATATGGTAAAAGTTAATGTTAGTTTGCCTGAAAACAAGGAAGCCTTTAGGTGGGGAATGGGAGCTAAAGAGGCATTTATTCAGGCTTTGTATAGTGATTTTTTTTGTTTTGGGACATTAGCCACAAACCTCACATATAATTGGAATTAACCACACCTTTTAGCTTAACTGTAAACGTTTTACTACACAATTCTAACAGCTACCATTTTGGATATCACAAAATAAAGATTATAAACCGTAAGAATTTTAAACAGCTCATAGGCAACTGTGAATTTTCTCATGCTTTCAACTCTGTAATGTCCCGTTTTCAGCTCCTCTGGTATCAGTAGGCTTTAAAGATTTATTTTTTGTTGACCCAAGTTGACCCAAGTATAAATATTGAGTGTTTGTATTTGAATACAAAGAAGACATCTGTTGAATTAATCCAAAGTGCTGAAGAACTCAGGGTAGTGTGTGGAAATAATAAGGAGGTAGATTCTGGTTTGTTAAAAAGAAGAATGTTCCAAACATTACAGGTTTTTTTGAAAAGAGCAGCCTTTTCATGAGACAGTGAGTCATTGGAGGTGTTTAAGCTTAGGCAGAAAAGCCTGGTAGTGGGGAAACAGAATGAGGGATTCCTACCTAGACAGTGTAGAAATTGACTAAGGACCTCTAAGATCCCATCCAACATTAAGATTCTATGGCTAATGAATAGTTAATTTTTACATATTTGATACTGAAGAGGTAAGCAAGCGTTTTGAGAATTTGCTTTCCTTAAGATGGCTCCTTAAAATTTTTGAAGTATAGCACTAGAATAAAATGGGGAGTAAAACTATACTGAATTCAATAATAATGTTACCAATGACTTACAATATTGGAGCTGTTTCTTTTTAACTTTAGAATATCTGAACCTAAAAAAAAAAAAATCATGTAACCCACATTTACAAAAAAAGGAAGGAGAAAAATGTAGAGGGAGTGTTTCCCCTAAACAATAATGCCACATAAAAATAGTAAAATTGATAACACAATATTAATAAACCTAAAAGTCATTTATCAGTAAGATGGATATCTATTCAAATACGTCCCAAACCTCGATATTCCTGACAATTTCAGAATTTATTCAGTAGCTTATTTATTCAGTAGCTTAAGGGACCGTGATCCCCAGCTCTTTATCACAATTGGGATTCTTGTTGATGAATTAACTGAAGAATCAAAGATTTAACAGGCTTAAGCAAGTTATTCCTGTACCTTGCATTTTGACAATACTTTTTAATTTTCCTTTTGATAACCCACTAAATTTCATATATTAGCTTTAGCATTTAAATGGATAATTCTCCTTCAACCAGTGGTTTTATAAAGCCTGAGTTTCTACCTCTAGGCCCCTTATTTTTCTTATCTTTACCCACCTCAGGTCTATGCACATACATTGTTCTTTGCCTTCACAGCTGTTTCCATCAAGCATCTCAAAGTGAAAAGTGTTTGAATATGAACTGGCTTATACAAAAGTCATTTCTATTTCGAGTCCAAAGGACTAAGGTAATTCAACAGGGTAACTTAGAAACTGTATACCTATGCTAAAATATTTATTCCCTCAAGGAATCCTGAAAAACACTTTTATATAAGTATTATTAAAAAATAAAATGAAAATACTGTACAGTACAGTTAATGGTAAAAATTGTTTGTAGATTTGGGAACCTTAAAGTTTTCCTTTCTCTTCTTTCCCTTGCTTTTCTTTCAGTAGAAAATGTGCATCAGATGTTTATGTTTAATTGGTTTACAGACTGTCTGTGGACTCTTTTCCTGTCATATTACCAGGTAATGTCCTTACTTAGCAGCTACTTCATATACCTATAAATGCACAAAATATTCATGCACAAATTATTATTGGACATAAGAATTTCAAGTTAATGTTGAATCTTTGGAAATAAGAAGCTACTTAATAGAGTCTAGAATTTTAAGGGAATACAAATAACTTAAAACAGACTTCCCCATATTCCTTGTAAGTTAAGTATCAGTTTAAAGAAAAATTGTATACGTGCACATTTATGCAATATATTGTAGTGCTGGCATCACATTATTTGGAGGGAATGAATGAGTTTCATATATAACTTGTTGATTTTGGTAGTCATTTTTGAAATTGCAATAAGAAGAACCCTTGAACATTTGGGGGAAAACAGGTCTTTATGAAATAAGACTTTCTAACTTCTGGTTTGGTAAAATGTGTTAGTGCACGTTTTAATATCACGTTTGCATTACCCAGTATCTGCCTTAGTGATGGAGGTCAAACATGTTTGTTATTTTGCAATCATTGGCTCTGGCAGTCATCAGAATTGTCACCAAAGCCACTTGGCAGTTCTAGGACAATACATTAAACTTTTAACTTGCAGGCATTTCAGGCGTTGCACATAAGCAAGTTCTCCATCTATGCAGTCGAGTCGGAGATTATTTATATCTATTAAAGAGCAGCTTTTCAATATTTCACATTTAAAAATTTTCTCTAGTTGTGCAGAATTCAGCCGTTGCACAATTATGTTGCTACTGGCATTGCAGAAGGTGTGTGAGGAAAAGCAAATGATATATGAGGATGGCAGTCTACCTAGCACAATCCCTTTTCTTAATCTCTGCTGTGACCTCTAAGATTTTGGTACATGGGATTTTACAATTCCTGTAGGGAAAGAACCGAGAGAAATATCTGTCAAGGGATAACCGCTTTCAAAGCGCACTAGTTGCAGCTGTTGCATCACAGCAACATCCGTTTTCTAACAAATGCACTTCAAAAAAGGCCTACATGTGAAATGTATCGTATTTTTTCCCCTGCGATATGAAGGCAGGACGCGGCTAGTTTCCTCGACCTCTTTGGTCCCTAGAGCCCTCTCCCGGGCTGGAGTCGCGGATCCGCTAGGGCAGGCGCCCGGCACTAAGATGCCCGCCTCCCCCCACACCCACCTTGGCTCCGCCTCCTCTGCGCTCCTCCGGGGGAGGGCTGCCTCGGGGCCGCGCGCGCGCGCGCTCCGGCCTTTTCCCTCTAGTCCAGCTCAGCCCGGGCGCCGCGAGGGGGCGGAGTGGGGTGTGGTGGGCGCGCTCGGGCGGCTCCTGCGCGTTCCCGCCGAGGCAGCGGCGGCGGGAGCGGCAGAGACGGTGGCGGCGGCGGCTGGAGTCCCGTTGCCGAGTCTTACATCCGGGTTCTGGCCGTGACCCAGCTGCGGCCACCGCGGAGATGTGACCCGTCAGTACGGCAAATATGGCGGAGGTAAGGGAGTGAGCTCCCCCTCCCCGTCCCGGAGCCGGGCGCCCCCAGGTCCGGGCCGGGGAGGAGTGGAGTGGGCCTGGCTAGGGGAGGCCCAGCCCTGCTGGCGCCACTGCCCACCTGTTGTCCGGAACAGGCCGCGCTCTGGGCGGGAGCTTTCCGTGGAACTTAGTTGGGATGGGTCCGGGGGCAGCAGGAAGCGGAGGCGTAGTTGGACTTCGGGGGGTTACTTTGAAGGGTCGAGGGCTGCGAGCCGTGCGTATGGAGAGGGGCGAGGGGGAGGGGGCGCCCGCGGGGCTGGGGCGCCTGTGGCGCAACTTCGCCGGCCGGTGCTAGGGGCCAAGAGAGGAGCTGCTGCTTCCTCTTCTTGCGAAGTTTCTTCCTTCCCTAGCCGAGATGCTGTTGCGCCCTTCCGCGTCACCCTCGTCGGTTTGCTACTGACATTCTGCCTGTGTTGGGGAAAACGGCCTTTGATTAACTCTAATTTTCTGGATGGTGACCAGATGA